AGACTCAAAGGACGGGTCACTGACAGCAGTGGCAAGGAGACGAGCGACAGTGGGACTGGCAGCACGCGCTCGGTCAGACTCAGGATCAGGGACCTCAGGAAGAGAGGACTCAGGAGGAGCAGGCAGAGGAACACGCAGTGGAACAAAGGAAGGACGGAGTGTCATAGTGTGCGTGCCCGGGACAGGAGGAGGACGCGAACGAGGAGCGCGACGAGCAGTGCGAACAGGCAAGACAGGACGAGACGCAGGCTCACGACGCTCTGTAAGACCTCCGGACTGCTTAGTGTAAGGAGAGGGAACAGGCAGTGGGGAGGCTGGCTGTAACGGCGGCTGCGACTGGTCAGGCGGTGGACACAGGAAGGGAGGAGGAAGACCAGTAGAAGACGAGACACCAAGAACCTCCTGAAGCAGGGGAACGAAGTACGGACGCGGCCGCACAGTGCCTCCAGCTCCAGGGTCAACAGCTCCAGCTCCTGTAGTCCCAGCGCCTCCGGCGCTAGTGCCTCCAACTCCAGCTACTCCAGCTCCAGCGCACCCAACCCCACCAGCCCCGACAGCTCCAGCACCACTGGTACGAGCACCTCCAGGACCAGTAGTCGCAGTACCTCCAGTACCTCCAGCTCCAGTAGTAACAGCAGCACCTCCAGCTCCAGTGTCTCCAGTCCCGCCAGCTCTGGGAGCTCCACTCCGACAGTGTGCGCGCTGAACAAGCCACTCACGCAGCTGCTGCGAGGACAGTCGCGGCAAAGCACCAGCAGGACCTCCAGACGAAGAAGCACCCCGAGGCTCAGCACCCCCAGACTCCGCACCCTCCGACTCATCACCCCCAGGCTCAACACCCCCAGGCTCAGCACCTCCAGACCCAGCACCCTCAGACCCCGCACCCCCCGGCTCCGCACCCCCAGACGCAGCACCCCCAGACGCAACACCCCCAGACGCAGCACCTGGAGCAGCACCTGAGACGACAGCTACCTGAACAGGCACAGTACCAGGGAGAGGGTCTACCTAAGACAATCCCGAGGGAGCAGGACCCTGGGGCGGGAGGGGGTCTACCGGAGGTGGACCGGGAGCAAGGAAGAGCGGCGGGGGCGGGGGAGGGGCAGAGGGGTAGGGGAAGAGACGGTAGAAGGGAACCGACTCGTCAAACGTGACGTCCTGAGACGGGAGGACACGACGCGAGGTGGGGTGGTAAAACTGCCAGCCAGGCGCGTCAGGGACAAAGCCAAGGAAGACGCAGGGAATGGAGCGGGCAGAGAGCTTGTCCGCGGACGTATCGCGAACAAAGGCACGAGAACCCCAGACCCGGAACACCGACGCATCGCCAACCTTCCCTGTCCAACGCAGTGTGGGCGAGGTCTCCGGCAAGGAGACACGGGGCCAGAGGTTGAGCTGATGCGCAGCGTACCGGACCGCAAACGGCCACCGCAAATGGGGAGCGGCCGCATGGATCATGGAGGTACGAGCGACCTCCATGACTAAGCCAATGCGGCGCTCAGCAATCCCATTTTGCTGAGGGGAGTCCGGAAGCGTGAACGACTGGAGAATGCCCTCCCCATGACAAAAGTCCTGACAGTGAGCTGGACGGAACCGCCGGACACGGGAGGACAGTGGAGGAACGGGCAACGACCGGGCCCCCAGAGGGGTCAGCCATTCTGACCGGAACCGGTGCAGAGAGAGGAGTGAGAGTGGTGCTGTCACGAAAGAAATAGCGCGAGGCGCCGGAGTCCAACGTGAAGGTGTGCAAGGCCTCAGCAGGCGCAGTACCAGGGGGAGTACCAGACGCACTAGCACCTAGAGCAGCAGCCGCTATGCCTGGGTCAGGTGGCACACACCAGTAACAATCACCCTCAGCACTAAAAGACAAAGCATACATGGCAGAGATAATAACATCATAGTCTAGGTCAAAGATAGGAACTCTTGACTGAAGCAACTACGCCCAGCGAGGGCGCTCGACGTCGTCACCAAACTCAGTACGCCAGGCGTCGTCAAGGCAGGCAAAGCAGCAGTGCTCAGTGTGATACTTCCCGCATGTCTGGCCCGCACGGACCCCCGTGCGGATGACATATGGGCAGGTCTCACTACCCTTACCCGTCCCACGCTGAACCAACCACTCACGGAGCTGCTGGGGCGTCTGGGTCTCTCTCCAACGCTGCTGGTGCTGGCCCCGACCACCACCAGGGCCTGTGCGCCGAGGTCCAGACCTACCACCACCGGTCCCACCGACTCCACTGCCGCCAATCCCTCCGCTGCCGCCACCGCCGCCACCAGAGCCTCCACCGCCGCCACCAGTCCCACCGCCGCCACCACCTCCACCGCCTCCACCTCCTCTACCGCCGCCCCCACTACCGCTCCCACTGCCACCTCCACCACCACCGCTGCCTCCTCCACTACCTCGGCCACCCTTTCCCTTGCTGTTGCGGCGCTTCGCACTAGTCGAAGCAGCACCGACGTCCTCAGGAACTGAGACGTCTGCAGCAGCAGCAGAGGCGAAGGAGGGGGAGCACCCCTCAAAGAAGGGCGTGCGCGGAGTGCCACGAGCAGCACCTACCGCAACTGCACTAGTCTCAGCTGCGAGGAGATGCTGCTCGAGGAGGTCAACAGTGAGGGAGGTGGGGTCGAGGGTGAGGAAGTGGTCCCTGACAGAGCGAAGGGAGTCAGGGAGGCGAGTGACTATGAAGTAGAGGGTGATGAACATGGGGGGCTGGTTCGTGGGAAGGAACTCAGCAGGGACGGTGGCGCGGTAGCGAGCGTCGCTAGTGCGCAGGTGGGTAACCAGGTCCGCTACTGTGGCAAAAGCCGACAGCTCAGGGAACAGGTAGGGCAGTAGCAGCCTGCCAATAGCAGCAGTGGCAGGGGAGGAGTAGCGAGCAACTACAGCGTCGTACAGGGCTTGTGCTGTCCTGTGCTCTCCAAAGTGAGCACATTCTGTCGCGGGCAGGTGGTTGCGAATGGCCAAGCGGGCAGTAGCGTCACGAGACAGCTACTGGGAACGAGTCGAAACGTCAGTTGTGGCGGGAGGGGCTGGAGCGGCACCGGACACGTGGTCAAACAGTGAGACACTGTCCTTCAGATCGCTCAGTAGGTACAGTTGCAGATCGTCGTGCCACGTGTCAAATGCTACAGGTCTGCCCTCCGGGTCGAACGAGAGAACTCTAAGCGACACCATAGTGGCGCTGGACGCAGGAGCAGCAGTAGCAGTAGCTAAGGGGCCAAGGGGCCAAAACAAGAGGGCCGAGGGGCCGAGGGGCCTAGGGGGCCGAGAGGCCTAGGGGGCCGAGGGGCTAAACAAGAGGGCCGAGGGGCCAAACACGAGGTCCGAGGAGGCCGAGCCTAGGGGCCGAGAGGCGGGGCCGAGGGGCCAAACAAGGGGCCGGGCGCTGGGCAGGTACGGGGCCGAGGGGCCTAGGGGGCCAAGGGGCCGAGGAGGCCGAGCCTAGGGGCCAAGGTGCAAAACAAGGGGCCGGGCGCAGGCTAGGTACGGGGCCGGGCGCGGGCTAGGTACGGGGCCGGGCGCGGGCTAGGTACGGGGCCAGGTGCTGGGCTCTGAATTGGGGCCGAGGGGCCTAGGGGGGGGCCGGGCACTTGGCTAGGTACGGGGCCAGGCGCAGGCTAGGTACGGGGCCGGGCGCGGGTGTCGACGGGCCGGGGCTAGGTACGGGCCGGTCGCTGGGCGAGGGACGGGGCCGAGCGGTGGCGTCGACGGGCGCGGGCTAGGGAAAGGGGGGCCTGGCGCTGGCTTAGGAACGGGGCCTAGCGCGGGCTAGGTACGGGGCCGGGCGCGGGTGTCGACGGGGCGCAGGCTAGGTACGGGGCCTGGCGCGGGTGTCGACGGGGCGCGGGCTAGGTACGGGGCCGGGCACGGGTGTCTACGAGGCGCGGGCTAGGTACGGGCCGGGCGCGGGTGTCGACGGGGCGCGGGCTAGGTACGGGCCGGGCGCGGGTGTGGACGGGGCGCGGGCTAGGTACGGGCCGGGCGCGGGTGTCTACGGGGCGCGGGCTACGTATGGGCCGGGCGTTGGCGTGAGACGGGGCCGGGCGCGGGCTAGTAACGGGCCGGGCGCGGGCGAGAGACGGGCCGGGCGCGGGGCTAGGTACGGGCCGGGCGCGGGCGAGAGACGGGCTGGGCGCGGGGCTAGGAACGAGGCCGGGCGCGGGGCTAGGGGCGCTGGGCCTAGGGAGGTAGTCGCAGTGTAGCAGGTGGTGGGCCCAAGTAACCTACTCTGATTCCATGTGAGAATAACAAACGAGAATGAATGAACTAACAAACAGTTGGGTACAAGTACTAACCCTTATTGGGTTGTACCCCTTATGGGCTACCCCACTACAGCCTACACCCGTAGGCCCCCTAGGCCCCGACTCGTTGCCTCTAGCCCGGCCCCTTGGCCCCGTCGCCCCTAGCCGTGGCCCCTTGGCCCCGTCGCCCCGTCGCCCTAGCCACGGCCCCTAGCGACCCGTCGCTCCGTCGCCCCTAGCCACGACTCCTAGCCACGGCCCCTTGGCCCCGTTGCCCCTAGCCGCGGCCCCTTGGCCCCATTGCCCCGTCGCCCAAGCCGCGGCCCCTAGCGACCCATGACCCGTCGCCTCTATCCGCGGCCCCGTCGTCCCGTCGCCCTTGCCTCGGCCCCTAGCGACCCGCGACCCGTCGCCCCGTCGCCCCTATTCGCGGCCCCGTCGCCCTAGCCTCGGCCCCTAGTCGCGGCCCCATCGCCCCTAGTCGCGGCCCCGTCGCCCTAGCCTCGGCCCCTAGCGACCCGCGACCCGTCGCCCCTAACCGCGGCCCCGTCGTCCCGTCGCCCTAGCCTCGGCCCCTAGCGACCCGTCGCCCCGTCCCCCACCCGTCGCCCTAGCCTTGCCCCCCCCCCCCCCCCCCTCGACCTCGGCCCCTAGGCCCCAGGCCCCTCGGCCTCTTGACCCCTCGGCCCCCCTTCCCCCTTCGTGTTTGGCCCTTGGGCCCCTAGGCCCCTCGGCCCCGCCCCTCAGTCCCTCGGCCCCTAGGCCCCATGCCCCTCAGCCCCTTGGCCCCTAGCCCCCCCCCCCCCCCCCCCCTCTTCGTGTTTGGCCCCTCGGCCCCTAGGCCCCTCGGCCCCGCCCCTCGGCCCCTCGGCCCCTAGGCCCCAGGCCCCTAGGCCCCTTGGCCCCTCGGCCCCTAGCCCCCCCCCTCCTTCGTGTTTGGCCCCTCGGCCCCTAGGACCCTCGGCTCTGTCCCTCGGCCCCTCGGCCCCTAGGCCCCAAGCCCCTCGGCCCCTTGGCCCCTCGGCCCCTAGGCCCCCCCCCTTTCGTGTTTGGCCCCTCGGCCCCTCGGCCCCTAGGCCCCAGGCCCCTCGGCCCCTTGGCCTCTCTGTCCCTGCTGCTACTACAGCTGCTACTGCTGCTGCTGCTGCTACTGCTGCTACTGCTACTGCTGCTACTGCTGCTGCTACTGCTGCTACTGCTGCTCCTACGGCCGCCCCTCTCGCTGCCCCTGCCGCCCCGCACGCCGCATAGCTTGCCCGCTATGACTTCTCTTCGTCGTAGCGGTGGGAGTGGTGACTGCGGAGGTGGCGGCAGTGGGAGTGGTGGCGGCCGTCCTAGCAGTCGCTGTGGAGCTGTTCGGTGGGGAGTTTCTGGCGGTGGCCAGATGCGGCTGCAGCAGCGTCAGCGCGACTCCCTTACACCCCAGCAGCTACGTGAGTGGTACACCAGTAGGGGTGGTGGCGGCGGCAGTAGTGGCATTCGCGCTGCAGCTATTCAGTTGGGAGTTCCTGGCGGTGGCCTGACGCACCTGCAGCGGCGTCCGCGCGAGACCTTTACGCCTCAGCACCTTCGTGAGTGGTACGTTCAGCGTGGGGCGTCTCGGAGTAGTGCTCGCTGCCCGTACGTCATTCGCACAGGTGACCGGGCTGGTCAGACTTGCGGGACAGTTGGTCACACACAGTCTCGCTGCTTCTCCTGCCTGAGCGACACCTGGCGTGCAGAGTTTGGCGACGCGACTGAGCTTCCCCGCTGGCTCAAGCTGGATAGGCAGGGTGTGGATATCTTTGCTCTATACTATGATGCTATTCTCACTGCTCTGTATGTTTGTCTACTAGTGCTGAGGGTGACTGTTACCGGAGTGTGTCACCTGACCCAGGTATAGCGGCTGCTGCTCTAGGTGCTAGTGAGTCTGGTACTCCCCCTGGTGCTGCGCCTGCTGAGGTCTTGCACACCTTCACGTTGGACTCAGACGCCTCGCGCTGTTTCTTTCGTGACAGCACCACTCTCACTCCTCTCCCTGCACCTGTCCCGGTTAGACTGGCTGACCCCTCCGGGGGCCCGGTCGTGGCCAGTTCCTCCACTGTCCTCCCGTGTCCGGCGGTTCCGTCCGGCTCATTGTCAGGTCTTCACCTCCCCTCGTTCTCTACGAACTTGGTGAGTACCGCTGCCCTCCAGGATGCGATGGTCACTACCACCACTCCAGGGGGTCAGCGTGTGTCGATCTGCATGTGCACACGGACGGGGCGTCACCTGGCCACGTTCACTCGTCGGCCAGGGTCGAGTCTGTACACACTAGCTACCGAGCCTCCTCAGGTAGCTGCGTCTGCTCAGGTGTCTGCGTCAGGTCAGGTAGCCGCCTCTTGCTCGTGTCGCCTCCTGTCGCACCAGACTCTTCTGTGGCACCACCGCCTGGGTCACCCCTCCCTGCCACGCCTTCGTGGCATGCACTCTCGTCTTCTTGTCTCTGGTCTAACCAGGTCTCTGCCTCCCCTCCCGCCCTCGCCTGCCCCGCCCTGCCTTCCTTGAGTCGAGGGGCGGCAGCGCGCCGCTCCTCACTCCTCGTTTGGCCGGACGACTGCTCCCCTGCAGACTCTCCACATGGACGTGTGGGGCCCAGCCCGCGTCAGTGGACAGGGCCGCGAGCGCTACTTTTTGCTGGTAGTTGACGACTACACGCGGTACACCACGGTCTTCCCCTTGCGTAGCAAGGGTGAGGTCTCTGATCTCTTGATCCCTTGGATCCGCACAGTCCGTCTCCAGCTCCGCAAGCGGTTCGGCCAGGACCTTCCTGTCCTGCGTCTGCACTCTGACAGAGGTGGTGAGTTCTCCTCTGACCTCTTGCAAGACTTTTGTCGTGGGGAGGGCATTCTCCAGTCTTTCACGCTTCCGGACCCCCCTCAGCAAAATGGGATTGCTGAGCGCCGCATTGGCTTAGTCATGGAGGTCGCTCGTACCTCCATGATCCATGCGGCCGCTCCCTATTTTCTGTGGCCGTTTGCGGTCCGGTACGCTGCGCATCAGCTCAACCTCTGGCCCCGTGTCTCCTTGCCGCAGACCTCGCCCACACTGCGTTGGACGGGGGAGGTTGGCGATGCGTCGGTGTTCCGGGTCTGGGGATCTCATGCCTTTGTTCGAGATACGTCCGCGGACAAGCTCTCCCCCCGTGCTATCCCCTGCGTCATCCTTGGCTTTGTCCCTGACGCGCCTGGCTGGCAGTTTTACCACCCCACCTCGCGCCGTGTCTTCCCTTCGCAGGACGTCACGTTTGACGAGTCGGTACCCTTTTACCGTCTCTTCCCCTACCGCTCTGCCCCTCCCCCGCCCCCGCCGCTCTTCCTTGCTCCCGGTCCTCCTCCGGTAGACCCCCTCCCGCCCCAGGGTCCTGCTCCCTTGGGTGTGTCTCAGGTAGACACTCTCTCTGGTACTGCGCCTGTTCAGGTAGCTGTCGGCTCAGGTGCTGCTCCAGGTGCTGCGTCTGGGGGTGCTACGTCTCGGGGTGCGGAGCAAGGGGGTGCGGAGTCTGAGGGTGCTGGGTCTGGGGGTGCTGAGCCTGGGGGTGAGGAGCCTGGGGGTGCTGAGCCTGCGGGTGTGGAGACTGGGGGTGTTGAGCCTGGGGGTGCTGAGTCGGAGGGTGCGGAGTGTGGGGGTGCTGAGCCTCGGGGTGCTACTTTGTCTGGAGGTCCTGCTGGTGCTTCGCCGCGACTGTCTCCGCAGCAGCAGCGTGAGTGGTCTGTTCGGCACGCACGCCTTCGGAGTGGAGCTACCGGAGCTGGAGGCACTGGAGACGCTAGAGCTGGAGGTGCTGGAGTTATTGCTGGATCTGGTGGTACTGGAGGTACTGCGGCTACTGGTCCTGGAGGTGCTCGTACCAGGCGTACTGGAGCTGCCGGAACTGGTGGTGTTGAGGGCGCTGGAGCTGGAGACCCTACGGAGCCTGGAGCTGCTGGAGCTGGAGGCACTGGCGCTGGTGGCGCTGGAGCTGGAGGCGCTGGAGCTGCAGGGGGTGGAGCTGTTGACCCTGGTGCTGGAGACATTGTGCGGCCGCGACCGTACTTCGTTCCCCTGCTTCAACAGGTTCTTGGTGTCCCGTCTTCTACTGGCCTTAATCCTCCCCTCCTGTGTCCACCGCCTTACAAGTCGCAGCTGCCGTTGCAGCCGGCCTCTTCACTGCCTGCTCCCTCTCCCTACACTGAGCAGTCCGGCGGTCTTACAGAGCGTCGTGAGCCTGCGTCTCGTCCTGTCTCGCCTGTTCGCACTGCTCGTCGCGTTCCTCGTTCGCGTCCTCCTCCTGTCCCCGGCACGCACGCTATGGCACTTCGTCCTTCCTCTGTTCCACTGCTTGTTCCTTTGCCTACTCCTCCTGAGTCCTCTCTTCTTGAGGTCCCTGACCCCGAGTCTGACCTCATGCTGCCAGTCCCACTGTCGCTCGTCTCCTCGCCACTGCTGTCACTGACCCTTCCTTTGAGTCTGCTGCTGCGTCTGCTCTCGTTGCTGAGCTAGTTGACTTTGCTGTTGCCTCTCGTCTAGACTACGCCACTGCTCTTGTTGTTGAGTCTGCGTCTGCCAGTCCTCCGTCCGTCGGGGGTGAGTGTGCTCTTGGCACGGACGTCCTTGAGGACAGGCAGGAGGACTTTGAGTGTCTTGCAGCTGCTGTACCTCGTTTCGCTTCCATGCTGCTTGGCCCTGAGGGAGACCCGGATGCACCAGAAATCCCGACCCCGTGCTCTTACGCAGAGGCGATTACGGCTCCTTACTCCTCTCAGTGGCAGGCAGACATGGATGCCGAGATGGCATCCTAGAAGTCCACAGGCACCTACGTCAATGAGGTTTCCCCACCTAGGGCGAACATAGTCGATGGCACGTGGATTTTCAGGGTGAAGCGGCCACCGGGTTTTCCGCCTGCCTTCAAGGCGTGTTACGTTGCTCGAGGCTTCAGTCAGCGACAGGGGGTTGACTACTTCCAGACCTTCTCCCCCACCCCAAAGATGACTACTCTTCGGGTGTTGCTGCATGTCGTTGCTCAGCGTGACTACGAGTTACACTCTCTGGACTTCAGCACAGCTTTCCTGCAGGGCAGCCTGCACGAGGAGATCTGGTTGCGCCGCCCACCTGGCTTCACTGGGAGGTTTCCTGCAGGTACCCAGTGGAGCCTCCGGCAGCCAGTCTACGGTCTCCGCCAGGCGCCTCATGAGTGGCACGACACACTGAGGACTACACTTGCGGCTCTTGGGTTTGCTCTTGCTACTGCTGACCCGTCGCTGTTTCTACGCACCGACACCTCGCTGCCACCATTCTACGTCCTCGTCTACATTGACGGCTTGGTTTTTGCCACTGCTGACACTGAGGCACTGACCCTTGTGAAGTCGGAGTTGCAGAAGAGACACACCTGCACTGACCTGGGTGAACTGCGCAACTATCTTGGCTTGCAGATCACCCGGGACAGAGCACGGCACACCATCACCCTGACTCAGTCACACATGGTGCACCAGGTCCTTCAGCGCTTCGGCTTTCAGTTCTCCTCGCCACAGCCCACTCCTCTGTCTACCAGCCACTCGCTCTCAGCTCCACCTTTGGACGAGTCCGTAGAGTCGAGTGGTCTGTACCCAGAGCTTGTGGGTTGCCTCATGTACCTGATGACGTGCACACGACCTGACCTCGCGTACCCTCTCAGCCTTCTGGCTCGCTACGTGGCTCCCGGTAGGGACCGAAAGGTGCACTGGGATGCTGCGAAGAGGGTACTGCGTTACTTGTGCAGTACGTCAGGCATGGGGCTCGTGCTTGGAGGACGGGGTCTAGTTGTCCTCACCGGTCACGCAGACGCTTCCTGGGTTGACGACTCAGCTACGCAGCCGTCGTCACAGGGTTACACCTTCAGCCTTGGTTCCGGCTCTGTTTCCTGGCGGTCTACCCGCTCGTCTTCGGTTCTCAGCTCCAGTTGTGAGGCTGAGATCTACGTCGGGGCCATGGCTGCACAGGAGCTACGCTGGCTCACCTACCTGCTGACTGACTTGGGAGAGCAGCCTCGTTCGCCTCCAGTTCTGTACGTAGACAGCAAGGCCATGATTGCCTTGTGTCAGGAGCACAGACTGGAGCACAGAGCGAAGCACATCGCTCTTCGATACTTCCTTGCTCGAGAGTTGCAGCAGCGTGGCCAGCTTCGTCTTGCGTACGTGGCCACTAGGGCCAACACTGCTGATATATTCACCAAGGCACTTCCGCCTGGTGATCATCACCGCTTCTCTACTGTGTTA